CTCACACAGGTAGTTCACACGTCACTGCAAATTATGTTTCCACTTCAGATAAGGAGGGACCTCCTTGGATTATAGATTCTGGAGCCTCAGAGCACATGACCCAGAGCTCTACTATTTTTTCAACTTACCAGCTCTGTTTTGGCAGAGATAGGGTCTCCACAACTAATGGATTCCATGTTCCTATTGCTGGGAAGGGATCTGTCAAGATTAGTGATTCTATTTCTCTACCCTCTGTCCTTCATGTTCCCAGATTGAGCACTAATTTGTTATCTGTTAGTAGTTTGACTAAGAACCTGAACTGCTCAGTAATTTTTTCTCCTGGTCGTTGTATTTTGCAGGATCTGGATTCAAAGAGGACGATTGGGAGTGGTCGTGAGTGAATGGAATCTACCTCTTGGATGTACTTCCTTTTCATCAGAGTCATCATGTCAGCAAGGATAGTGAGTCAGGGTTTGTGAGTCAAATTATGCTTTGGCATAATCGTTTGGGTCATTTACCKTTTTCTTCTTTGAGTTTTTTGTTTCCAAAACGTTTTGAGTCTGTTAGTTTGTCAAGTCTGGAGTGTGAAGGTTGTCAACTTGGAAAGCATTGTAGACATTCATTTAAACCTAGTAATAAAAGATGTTTTTCTTCTTTTGATGTTATTCATTCGGATGTGTGGGGCCCTTACCATGTTCCTTCTATGGAAGGTTATCGTTATTTTCTCTTATTTGTGGATGATTTCTTACGACTCTTGGATTTACCTGATGAGATCCCACGATGAGGTACCATCCTTGGTGAGGCAATTTCATCAGATGATACTAACACAATTTGGAATAAGAATAAAGGTGTTCAGATCTGACAATGCCAGGGAATATTTTGAAAGACATCTTGCCTCATATCTGTTAGAATATGGTGTTGTCCATCAGAGTAGTTGCCCCTACAGTTCACAACAGAATGGTGTTGCAGAAAGGAAGAGCAGACACATTGTTGAGACTGCAAGAAGCATGATGATCACATCTACAGTTCCAGTTTGGTTTTGGGGTGATGCAGTTCACGCAACAGTATATCTGATTAACAGGGTGCCCTCTCGTATACTTGGATTCAACACCCCATTCAGTCTTCTTTTTCCTCAGGGGGAGATGTTTCATATTCCTCTCAGGGTGTTTGGGTGTGTATGCTTTGCACATATCCTTGGTCCTCACTGCTCGAAGCTTGATCCCAAGGCAAAGAAGTGTGTCTTCCTTGGATATGCAGAGAATCAGAAAGGGTACTGCTGCTATGATCCAGTCTTTGGGAGCCGGTATGTTACCATGGATGTCACCTTTTTTGAATCCACATACTTCTTCTCAAAGAATCCTTCTCAGGGGGATTGTTTTGGGGAAGTGAGTCAGCAATCTATTCCTCTCCCAGTTCTAGTCCCTGTGTCTACTCCTGTGCTTGACCACCACCCTGTGGCACCTACCTTGCCACCTACTTTGCGTTCTGCTTCTCAGCATTACTTACGACAGGGACTTCACAAGGAGGTTGATTCCACTACAACAGAATTCACATCACTTCCTGTGGATTCCTTGGAGACTCCAGATTCGGCTGMCATGGATTCAGGTATTCCTCTTGGTCCCGCTACTGTTTCAGTTCCCATTGAT